TGCAACCTGTGGGATTCGAACCCACGCCACTTTCGTGACCAGAATGCTCACTGTATTCAGTGAAGAGGTAATTTCTCTTGAGTCTGGCGCCTTAGACCAACTCGGCCAAAGTTGCTTACATAATCTCCTTAGTCGACCTTCCCAACTGGGCCAAATAGTTCGTTATGATCTCATATTCAAATGACGGTTCATATCGAATCTTATAGACTTGACCTACGTTTTTAATTTTCCCTAATCCCGCATTCGCTTTAGCGAAGAATGAGCAAACATAAGAACTCGAGCAGAGCCATTACTCCTTCGTTAGATTACTCACCTCACTAGCGGCGAAGAGAACCTACCTAGGGCTGGCCACCCGTTCATACCACTTGACGGCTACTTCAATACTCGTCTCGTTGTGCGTTCCATCCATATACCACGTACAGCCACCGTAATTTTGGATATCGAAGCGTCTAGGCCAGCGGCACTCTTTAACACCAGCCAGGATGTCTTGTCCGTCGAGGGATTGACAGCTCCGTCGGAGAAAAGCATGAGCAATTTGCGTAGCTAGAGCGCAGTTTTCTCGCTGTTAAAGTGGTATCTCCTCAATCTGAACATTCTCGAGGAACTCAAGCAACGCCCCCTTAACAATTTCAACGAACTGGAGCGATACCCCCATTTCTGCAGCCCTGCGTTCCACCTCATCTTTAGCCTCCTGATCCTGCGGAACCGAAAGCGCAAGGACTCGTTCCCTAAAGATTCGACCCTTATGCCATGCAATATGTTGTAAGGTTCTTCCTAGGTTATCGACGTGGTCCATGCCAATTTTCGTGACGGCAGTAATGATAGGACGGTCAACGAAATACCCGTAGGTGGTTCCCCACGATAAATGCCTTCGTCATTTGCTGTCAAGTCAGGCATCAAGGCTTGTATTCATAAGTATCCATAAACAGCTACATCGATGTACATACATATGTAGGCATATCGAGTTCGGTACGAATATTAAAGTATTGACTAGATAGTTTAAGTTAGCCATCAATTGCGGCTTTCTTCCAGTTATCGTGGGCTGGTATATGCAAACTCCAGACTCTACCATCTCATGGCATTACTGAGGTCCGACAAGCAGCTGAAACGTCTATGATTCAGGACTGAGGGACACCTTTTTTTTGAAATATGATAACGAGCTAATCTTGCAAGTTTGGCATCAAAGCACAAATCAACGCTGCATTATGTCTAGTCTTTTGCCGTCCTAGTAACGCCGGTAGCCTATTGCTCTCACGCTCAGATAGCACCACCCGGGAACACGTAAATTGGAAGTATACAAAGAAAAGGAAGGCCACTAAGGCTGCACAACCTGGATGTTGTTTTTCTTCTGGAAAGGGGAAATCCAAGTCAGCACTGCCCGTATCAAGTTCACGGGATATGGATTTAGGCCTAGGAATGACCATGAAACAGGAGATACGCTTACCTTCCAGGTATCCAGCTCACTCTGCTTTGACTTGTACTGCTTGAGCATGTCCTCCAGTACTTGCTTCAACCCATCAGAATTGGTCTTGAGTGTAGGAAGCACGTCTTTGACAGTGCGCTCAACTAAGACGCCATTCACCATGCGGAAACATTTGCGGTCTGCTGCGAGAGGGTCGAGGGTCTCAATCACAAGTCTGAAAAAAAACATGTTAGCATTGTACGTATTTGTTGGGATATCGCTGGTTGTGCTAGCTTGTGGTGAAGCCCCCGATTCAGTACCAGCAACATCCCACTATGCTGGGACAGCACATAACCCTGGTAATGGCTCACTTGTGCTCTTCTGCCTCCTGCTCAATATCACCGATCTTTTGTGCTAACTGCTGAAGAGTATTCTTGAAGTTGGTGTATTGGTGCTGAAGCTCTGGATTGAGGGGTTCGCATCAGCTTTCGTGAATTCTTAAGATCTGGAGGGGCAATAGAAAAAGCATACCCTGCTGCTTCTTAGGGTCAATCTGTTTCTGGCTAGACATGATGGCTGTTTGACACGGCGTGGTTGGCACGAAAGCTCGAGAAATTGAGATGACGATGCGGGGCGCTTGCTTTTTGGTGTTGGCGGAGGGCCACTACTATAGAATTCTTGATGTACCTTACACCCCCGCAAACAAGTTAGTTTAGCTTTAAATCGCACGTATATCTACTCAAATACCTAAGGGTACTCCAATATTATTGTAATAATTGTTGATTTAACTTTACAACTACCATTAACTATATGTTGTCCATGAAGTAAGTTATTAGCCACGTGACTGATATCACAGTTTGCAATGTTTGATTGCGATAACGACCAGCTCCACCGCTTTCCTCTACGTAAGAAAAGGTCGCTTCGGGTCAGCAAGACCACTAAGAAGTTATATTCATAAGAAATGGAGACTAAGTACTGCTTATGACATTGCCTTTTTGGAAGACTAGGTTCCTAGGTAGAAATTGGACTTCCAAAGCAGTGGCGCTATTCTGGCAATAAAAGGCGGTAAGACCTTTTAAGCAGGCAGAGGTTCGACTCCGCGGAATCACTTTATCATGAACCCGAACCCACGCAGACCAGACTGAGTCGTACGTTGCGAATAACTCAAGCCTCAAACCTGGCTCACAAGCCCGGCCGAACGACATGTCCCGCAACGATACGGGCCCTCCGGCCAAAAGGCACAAGGGCTTTGGACACCTCCCACCAGGCCTACGCGACGCGAAACGGAAGGACATTGACAACTGGGAAACAAATCGAATGCTCACCTCTGGTGTGGCGCAACGGCGGGACCATGACGGTGACTTCATGCCCGAAGATGAAGAAGCGACTCGAGTGCATTTGCTCGTCCACGACCTTCGGCCGCCTTTTCTCGATGGCCGCACGATTTTCACGAAGCAGCTGGAGCCGATCTCCGCTGTTCGGGATCCGCAAAGTGATATGGCAGTATTCAGTCGGAAAGGAAGCAGGGTCGTTAATGAGCGCCGACAGCAACGCGAACGACAAAAGCAAGCACAGGAGGCGACAAATGTCGCTGGTACAGCCTTAGGGAACTTCATGGGCGTCAAAGAGGACGAAGGAGACAGTGCAGTCGCCCTTCCTATCGAGGAAACCTACAAAGGAGGAGGAAACAAATTTGCCAAACATATGAAGAAAGGCGGTGGCTCCAGCGCTTTCAGTAAGAGTAAGACCATGCGCGAGCAGAGAGAGTATCTGCCCGCCTTTGCCGTGCGCGAAGACTTAATGAGAGTCATCCGGGATAATCAAGTTGTGGTGGTCGTTGGAGAGACTGGATCTGGGAAGACCACCCAGCTAACTCAATTCCTACACGAGGATGGCTACTCTAAGTTCGGCATGATCGGATGCACGCAGCCTCGCCGTGTGGCTGCTATGAGTGTTGCGAAGCGTGTCAGTGAGGAGATGGATGTTGAGCTCGGTGCACTCGTCGGATACTCCATCCGTTTCGAGGATTGCACGAGTGATGACACGGTGATCAAATGTGGGTTTCTCCCTTTCCACTTTGGTGTGATCATGTAACTAATCTATATACTAGACATGACGGATGGTGTATTGCTGCGAGAATCTCTCACCCAAAAGGATCTTGACAAATACTCGTGCATCATTATGGACGAGGCGCACGAAAGAGCTTTGAACACCGACGTCTTGATGGGTCTTCTCAAGAAAGTTCTGACTCGGCGCAGGGATCTGAAATTGATTGTGACCTCGGCGACGATGAACTCCGAACGATTTGCGCGCTTTTTTGGCGGTGCCGCAGAATTCATCATTCCTGGCAGAACCTTCCCTGTTGACCTTCACTTCTCGCGCACACCTTGTGAAGATTATGTCGATAGTGCGGTCAAGCAGGTCTTGGCCATTCATGTATCTCAGGGCGCTGGTGATATTCTTGTCTTCATGACCGGACAAGAAGACATCGAGGCGACGTGCGAGCTGGTGGAAGAAAGACTGAAGCAGCTGAATGATCCGCCGAAACTCAGCGTCTTACCAATTTACAGTCAAATGCCGGCCGAGCAACAGGCAAAGATCTTCGAGAAGGCCGCCCCGGGCGTGCGCAAAGTAATTGTGGCCACGAACATTGCCGAGACAAGTCTGACGGTCGACGGTATCATGTTCGTCGTGGATGCAGGTTACTCAAAGCTGAAGGTATACAACCCGCGCATGGGTATGGACTCTCTCCAGGTCACCCCGATTTCCCAAGCCAATGCAAACCAGCGGTCTGGACGTGCTGGACGGACTGGGCCGGGCAAGGCCTATCGTCTATACACGGAGACAGCCTACAAGAACGAGCTTTACATTTCAACTATCCCCGAGATTCAGCGAACCAGTCTTGCCAATACCATACTTTTACTGAAATCCCTTGGCGTGAAGGACCTTTTGGACTTCGACTTCATGGATCCTCCCCCACAAGAGACAATCTCTACCTCTCTTTTCGAGCTCTGGTCACTGGGTGCTTTGGACAACCTGGGTGATCTTACACCTCTAGGACGTCGCATGACACCATTCCCCATGGATCCCCCTCTTGCCAAGCTCATAATCATGGCCTCCGATGAATATGAGTGCAGTGAGGAAATGTTATCCATCGTCGCAATGCTTTCGGTTCCGAATGTCTTTTATCGTCCCAAGGAACGACAGGAGGAATCCGATTCAGCCCGCGAGAAATTCTTCGTTCCAGAATCTGACCACTTGACCCTTCTTCATGTTTATACTCAATGGAAAACCAACGGTCACTCCGATGCCTGGTGCACCAAGCACTTTTTGCACTCCAAAACTCTCCGCCGCGCCAAGGAAGTGCGAGACCAACTTCACGACATCATGACCCAACAAAAGATGCCCCTCATCAGCTGCGGCACAGACTGGGACCAGATCCGCAAATGCATCTGTTCGGGCTTCTTCCATCAAGCCGCACGGCTAAAGGGCATCGGCGAGTTCATCAACCTCCGCACCAGCGTGACCATGGCCCTCCATCCCACAAGTGCCCTTTACGGTATCGGCCACGTGCCCGAGTACGTCGTCTATCACGAGTTGATCCTGACGGCCAAGGAGTACATGTCCACAGTGACAGCCGTTGACCCTCATGTAAGTTACCGATCCCCATTTCCGCCTGTATATCTAGTACTCAACTAACTCTGTCTTTTAGTGGCTCGCCGAACTCGGTGGTGTATTCTACTCCGTTAAAGAGAAAGGCTACTCGCAGCGCGACCGCCGCGTGACAGAAATCGAGTTCAACAAGCGCATGGAAATCGAAGAGCAGATGGCAGCTGACCGTGAACGCGCTGCTGCTGAGAAATTGCGCGAGCAGGAACGCAACGATCCCGTCCGCCGCAGAAGGGAAATTGAGGTTGGTGGAAAGTCCGCCGTGCGTAAACCTATCATCAAGCCGGGACGCAAGGTCGGCGGTTTGACTGCTTCATCTTCTTCTTCATCGCGGCCTGGAGCCAATGCCGATGGAGCCCGCGAGGGTGGTGGAAATCGTCCTGGAGGCAGTGTGGTCAAGAGGCCTACGGTGCCTCGGAGACCAGGACGTGCATTTTAGTCTTGCGGTGAAAAAAAAAAGAAAAAAAGAAAGAAAAGCATTAGGGACTTAAATGTCCTCTTTGTACAACATTATTTTGTCTTTCAAATCCATCTACGTGGATCTTGTTCAATCGATACCCGCCATTGCCATTACGTTCTCGTTCAGCTCATCTCCGAGTGTAGTCTGCTCTACACCCACGCTATTCAGGAAATATAGATATGAATAGCATATGCTTTTCCCACAAGTCAATCTTGTGTAAGTAGGTACGTCAAATATGAACAACATTTTCACTTCAAAGACCTAGCGTGCAGGACTGGAACGAGGATCGGCTAGAAAGGTTCCAACGCGGAAGGATATCTAAGAGACGACATTCCCACCCATCTGAAGGTAGAAACGAACCAAACCCAGGTAGAAAAAGAATGAGCCAGCTTGGTATTGAACGGAGGATTCTAGCGCTGAGCACAGCTCAGTTGATAAAGTTGACGCAGAAAAAGTGCAGGATCAAGCTTCCAAAAATGTAATCGGCGAAGGCCCTGAAATTACAGATCAGCATATGTATTCGTCGCATTGGGAACACAATCGTGACATTGAATATCACCACCAAAAAGACAAAAGACAACAGAAACTCACCTCTCATGCGAAGTACCCGTCCCCTGCTCTTCACTCTCATCTGCAAAGCGCGCATTCTTCCCCTTGGAGCTCGGCTTCGATCCAGAACCAGTACCGCTGTCGCTAGTCTGCATGCGCAGACTTGCCGTAAGAACGAATTGACCAACAGCAGCACTGAAGCCACTGAGGAAGGCATTGAAGGGCTATTATGGGAGGGAGAAGTTGTTAGTTATTGGTCTATAGATTTCCAATTGCAAGTCTCACGCCGTATAACAAGACAAGCGAAAAGAGGGTGAAGAAAGCAACAGAACTGCAATAGCATTTGCCAAGCTTCAACTTACATAGTTTCCAGCTAGAACACAGTACAAGAACTGCAATCCACCAACAAGAACCAGGAACGCCATGAAGGCATCTAGGAGGAGTGTCCGCTGCGGCGTTGTGGATGCATACTGCTGCCAAACATGGCCGGCGATCTCAGCAGCTGAGGCATTGGTCTTGAGAGTCGCTGGGCCTGAGGAGAGTTTCGGTGTTGTGGGCGCGGATGTGGGCGTGGAGGGTGCCGCGGAGGTAGTTGAGGTAGTTGAGGCCGCGTGGCGCTTGGGAGCCATGATTTGGGATTTGGGAGGTCGGTGATGTTTGGGCGTGTGAAATTAGTGGTGGTTGGAATATAGAGAGCACAGATGAAGCTTTCAGCAGAATATTGGTGCGAAGACGGTGGGTTGGAGGACAATGGCGGAGCGGAGGGTGGTTGATGCCAGCTTGGAGCTTGTTCACTATGGTCACGTGGTGGAGTAGATCCTGATTTGGAAGTAGCTCGGTATACAATTAAGTGATAACGAATGTCCTATTTGTTTAAAGGTTTAATGGTAGATTTATTGACTGATGCATTGAGACGGCTTTTTAATTCAAATTTGTGTTTGATTTTGGGTATACAATGTTGCCACCACACAGCGTCGCCGATAATGCATGAGAGAAGAGGAGTATAATAACAGTGAGGGGAGGGGGATATCATCCAGTGACCAACGCTACAAATCATCAAATCATTACTAGCCAAAGCCTCAGGCGGGAAAGGACCCGCCATTTATAAAGAGGCTAGGCAAACCATTCGGCAACATTTGTTCCGTTGGTTCGTTGGAAATTTTCATTTTCAACATCCATCTGGAAATCACGCATAACTTGATCCCATTCTTCCCAGCTGAGCTGAGAGGCGTCGGCAAGGGGAGTCTGATTCAAGAATGGGTTTATCATGGTTGTGTTGTAGGGCATGCTTGAAGACAAGCTTGGAGCCGAGATATTATTCTGAGTGGGTGGAGCATCGAATATATCGCTCGAAGTAGCTAGGAGGTCTGTCTCAGGGAACATGCTTCGAAGAGCATCCAACGGTCCATTGCTGAGGTCAATATTGTAGTCTGCATCAGGCATAATCGGTTCTGTCGGGCCTGGTCGGTTTATCGAGGGCGAATTCGGCATCCCCATTGGCATATGAATGCGGGGAAGGCTGTGGTTATGACTAATGCTTGGAATTGGCTCTGCTGTGGTGGGCAATGGTCCGAAGGTGGATACCAGCTCTTGCTGTTGCTTGGCCCGAGTGGCAGCAGCTCTTTTCATCAAGGCGGCGAGCGGCCGCCACAGCATGCCCTTCTTATGTGTGGCCTGCACGGCCCATTCCGTGTAGATCGAACTGACAGCGGCCCAAGCTCTGTCGGTGATAGGGCAAATCGGTCGGACACATATCTCAGACAGAACGAATGCAACTCCGTGCCATTGCATATTGGTCCTGAACAGCCAGCCCCATTTGGCGGTCTTGGGATCAGTTTCAAGCAAGTGGCCAAACTCGAGGACCTCAATTGCTGTTAGAAACAAACTCTGTCGAGTTGCTTGGGACACATTTGCGCGGTCTCTTCGGGTCATTGGGTGATGGACAATCAACCATAATTTAGCAAGGATCAGACGCCCAACTGTGGCGGCGCACCACTGCAGGGGGACGTTCATATCACAGTGCCTGATATACCGTTGTTCACATCGATCACTGATAATTTGAATCATCCGTCCAGCACGATCTATGGGCGGTAGACTGCTAGGTACACGAAACTGGGCCCCGGGACACGCGTAATTTGCTCTCCGCAAAGCGCTCGTGATCTCACAGCGAATAAGGCAGAATGTAGCATCCGTGTAGCCTTCTCGCTCTTCGGGGGGCTCTTCCATGTCGGGCGACAGATCGTCGTCATTGATATTTAATGGCAGTAAAGTATCGTACATTCTCTCGTGAATGAGCGGGTCCGTCCCATGGTCTTCAGACGAGCGGACATCCAACAGCGAGATATGCCACCATAATCGGCGCCGCATCTCCGTTTCGAACGGTTTCAGAGCGAAATTGCTGCCATCCCGGTGTAAGCCTAAGCTTTGAGCAAGGCGTAATACGATCGATGTCATAGACCACACAAACTTGCTATCATCTTCTCGTCGCACGCAGACCAAGAATAAGACAGCAGCTTGTAGAAGGACCAAGCTTTGTGTATTCAAGAACCCGGCTTTTGCCAGTGCTTGTTCTGTAGCAAACCTGTAACGCTTGACAGCAGTAGTTCGGTTTTCGCCGAACTGGAACCAGCAGTCATCCGGCTTCATGCTGACAATGCTGCAAAGATACATGGAAAATATCAGTGCCTCTGAAATTTTGTCCAGTGCATCTGGGTTCCTTGCTGCCTCGGCAAAAAGTGCTTTAGCAGTCGGTCGGTGTACGATAGTGATCAAAGGAGCCACATTCTCCCGGTATGTTTCCCAAAGTACTGAGACCTTGGGCGCGGGGGGATGAAACTCTCGAAGAGACTTTGAAAGTGAGTAGAAGCCAAAAAGGAAACCGTCATGTGAGCCCGACTGAGAAGACTCTGGTGAAGGTGTATCATCTTCCTCTGACGATGAATGGTCAAGGATATCTTGTAGCTCCTCGATCTGAAACATGTTAGTATAAACTACGCTGAGTAACAAAATAAAATGAGGGATATCTACCTCGTCCCCAAGACTAGTCCAGAGCCGATTGCTGACATATCGGCTCCGGCCTTCATCAATGACCAACCGCCCAAATTCATTCTCAAACTTATTGGTAGCAAGTTTCTTCGGATCTGCTTCTTCGAACGGACAGACACGTCCGCCGCCAGTCTGATTCTGTGGCTCAGTAGGAACAGACGTGGGCGCAGTCGGTTCGCTCCGACCGGTCGAAGATCCAGTCGTAGAAGACGGCGCCTGAGTCGAGGTCGATGCACCTTCTGTATTTCCACTGCCCCTAAGATGGTCAATAACACCCTCCAAACGACGCAACCGTGAAAGCAGCTCTGCGTCCGGAGGACGCTTCGACTTCCGCGGTGCACGGCCGGGAGGGGGAAAGACGCAGTCGATGCCGGCTTTGGTACAATTCGAACACGGGGACTTCTTGTTGCAGCGGACTTTCCTGCGGCGGCAGGTCACACAGCTGCGAGAGCTCGAGCTCGGAGGTTCCGCAGCCGAGTGGCGGGGAAACGTGGCTGCCAGGTTCGTAGGCAGTGGGGGGTTATTTGGAGAATTATTGTTGACAGGAAAGAGATTCAGCTCCTCCGGGGAAGCTGAAGGGAACGGCATAGTGCTGAGATAAGGAAGTCGGGTCTCGCTTCCCACATTGTTTGAAGCCTCGTGGTTCTAGCAAGAAATGACTGGCAAAAATACGAGCGCATATAATGTCTGCCTTTCCGTTTTAGTGCTCCACCTCTCGCCGCTTTTTTCTCACTGAGTAAAACTGAGCATGCCGTTGAGCATCCACATGATGACTCACCTCCAGGTCTGGGCACCCGAGGACCTGGGCAGGTGACCCGTGCTGAGGTGGACCCGTGGACCATGTGCCTACTTAGGTTAGCGCGCTCTGATTCCAACCTTGGAAGGATCCAATGTTTGCTAAGCTCGGGAGCAGACCTCGGCATCCGACCATGACTTGACCTCAGCGCTCTAACCTGTTCACGAAACGCGAACTATGCGAGCGACCTTTGAAGAGGGAGAGTGGCTAAGTTGATAGCTCATGCCAGACATCTGAGTTTCGACAAAATCTATGGTATATTCTAATGATATGTAGACCTATCATCTATAGTTAGATTAACAAAACAGACAACCTTGGAATTTGACAAAGAATAATAAGCGCTTTTTGTCCATGATGGTATCCTCCTTTCCATGATCATGTGATTTTCTGGGTAAATACCCTGTAAAATCAATGCCATTTCCTCTGACAGATCTCTCTATTCCGATGCGATCCCCTGACGGGGAGGATTAGTGCGTGCGTAGTTGAAGCGCAATCCATCCGAGTAGTCTGTATACCGCAATGATACCAATGAATGCCACCCACCTTCCAGTCCTATAGCCATAAGTATCCAACATAGCCGTTCCGCCGATCTGGCACTGATCAGCCAAGTTCGCGGTATTCGTGCATTGGCACGCATCACCGCATGAGAAAATCCGTTCTGAGGACTCGTTCACCATCACCCCCTGGAAAGCACAGGCCTGCTTAATATTAGACTAGTCAAATAACCTTAGGTAGTAGTTGTTCGATCTCACCTGGTAGTCGATGTAGTAAACCACATATTTCCAGAACGGATTCAAAATGGCCGGGGTTACCAGGAACCCACCCACACTCATCCACAGCCCGTTAGCAAATGGCACAAGCGCAAGAGCAATCACGAAGTTTGGAAATATCTCCGTCATAAGGACGACTAGGTCTAGGGAAATCCATATGGTGGCAGGAGCTCTTCTAGGGATGATAGAGACTTTCCAGGGGTTGGGCTTATGCCATGAGTGTAGGGAATTAGGGGTTGCATTCTGGTCGGGTTATGGCCGGTTCGTTTGTTGGGGATTTGAAGAGAAGAGTGCCTTGTATGCAAACGAGGTATTAGCGGAAAGAAAAAACGGGGAAGCTAGCTTTCAGGAGACTTCAGTATTTGAATTAGAGGATGGCGTACATATATTTCGCAGGTTTGGAGCCAAAGTTAACCACGAGTCCTCTTTGATGATGATCGATATGACCCCAAAATAGTCCGATATCTTAAGTATCCGTCGCCGAAGCAATCGCCGGGACCGGTGGAGACAGAGTGGGGATCTGCTGCATATCCGAAGGTATGACGTCATACTATAGCAATGGACTTCACATTTCTCACAAAATCCGCAGATAATTACCTTCTTTTTATTATTTCCAATGGAGAGTACTACCTATGAAGCCATCGTCATAGGAGCTGGGCCCGGAGGGCTGGCTACCCTTGCAGCTTTGTGCGATGCAGGACTCAAGCCAATTTTATGGATTGACAGAACCTTCGAGGGAGGAAGACTCAATACTGTATACCGAGAGATATCATCGTGAGTTATTTTCCGAAGCTTACCCATATCCTTACTGACAGATGCAGTAACACAAAAATTCGTGATTATTTGAAGGCGATCTATAGTTCTCCTGTTTGCGCTTCGATCATAAGATCTATTCCTGCCCCCAACGCTGTGACCAAACTTGAATCTATGGACAGGGACAAGACTTGTCAGCTCAGTTTTGCCGGGGAAATGGTTCTTATGCTCGTAAATGGTCTGTTAGAGCGTTCTGAAGTCCAAAAAATTGAAGGTGAAGTTGAGAAGGCTTCCTTGAAGGTGTGTGGGCTTTCTAACCTAGTTCGCAAGCCTCAGCTGATTTGATGTCAGGGAGGCGTATGGGCTGTGTCAACCTCCAACCAGAACTTCGAAACTAATCGACTCTTTATGTGTACTGGTTCTAAACCCAAGAGCTCCAGTGTGCACTACCCATTTAATCAAAATCTGACCGTACTTGATCTGGACGAGTGCATGCTTCGCTCTCGCCTACCATCCGCTCTTCCAAAGGACCGCAAATCTGTGGTGGCAGTTATTGGAAACTCTCATTCCGGCATCTTGTGCTGCAAAAATCTTTACGAAAGTGCGACGTCGAAAGAACGAGATATCAAAATTGCCAATTTTGGCCGCAGACCAATCAAGTATGCCAAGTATGTTGACAACGGTATTATTTTCGACAACACCGGGCTCAAAGGAAGCACTGCAGAATGGGCCAAGGAAGTCATGGAAAATAATCCAGACCCGGAAATCATAGAACGAGTTGATTTGAGCCAAAACCAAGATTTGGCTTTTGGAGAGCATTTACCTCGTTGCACCCATATTATTTATGCGATCGGATACACACGCTCGCCATTACCGGCGATATATATTGACGGACAACGGGCTGGAGAGGATCTCACATTCGACATGCATTCATCGGGGTTTCATTACGGTGACAAGGCTGAGAGAGTCCAAGGACTCTATGCTAATGGTATCGCTTTTCCAGAGGAAGTGAAAGATCCGGAAGGACATGTAGAAGCTGCGGTGGGGGTCGCCAAATTCTTCAACTTTGCTGAACGGATGAAGAAGAATTGGGTGGGTTTCGAGTGAGTATTTGAAACATATGAGGTCTACTGCAGGAGGCTACTTTACCCAAAGCCATTCGGAAACAACTAGTCCATCTACTAGTGTTCTCTCAAGTATAGTAACCGAGAGGAAGTTGAAGCCTACTGTAAAAACATATGATGAACTGGTTATTCTAATCTGTGGTGAACAAAGACCGAAAATAAAGAGTCTGATATCAAGGATATATATGTAGAAATGCGTGGCAATCGGTGAGTACGACAAGTGGGCAAACGAGGGTCAAACGCCGAGAACAAATCACATTAAAGCAATGGCTCCTTGATAATGGCATGACTCTAGACTTTGTAATATAACGGGGACCTTGGTTATATTTACCAAGTTCTTCTCTGTCTATAAAGACTAGCGGTTCTCTCGGGGGCACAGCTATCAAGACAGAGAACACGTTTTGCCTACAGTTTGCGACTTCATCACCAGAATGTCGACCTTCAAACTCGACGCCCTTCGTTCACCAATCTCCCCAGGCGAATCATACTTCGACTTGGGAACCCACAGCTTTCCCATCAGTACCAAAAGCCAAAATGCTCAGATATGGTTTGACCGCGGCCTTATTTGGTTGTACGCATTCAACTATGAGGAGAGCTTCTGCTGCTTCAAGCAAGCTCTTGCCCACGACCCCACCTGCGCAATGGCCTACTGGGGGCTGAGCTATGCGGCTGGGCCAAATTACAACAAGACTTGGCAGCTGTTCGATCCGACAGATCTCCAGAATAGCTTTAGCGATACAACGCGATGGGGATGATGTTTAGCCACCTCATCTTACCGAATGGTTCAATATTGCAGATTGATACACCAAGAACATCTTCATTGAACGTTAGCCAATTTGTAGAGCCACGGGGAACGTTGGACTCACAGTCATCCACCAGACCCGTTGTTTAACTTCGGAGTCCAGACACTCAGGACCAGAAGTATGAAGTGACAGATCCATTGCAAGGGTCAACGCATGATGAGCGTGGGAGCGCATCCGCTTCCTGTTGCTATTCTGGGAAAATTCATAAACCGCTAGCAGAAGGAGGGCTAGAATACCATCAAGGACTGGCGGTAGACTAGGGATAAAAGAGCCGTCCGGGCCAGCATCATCATAACCGACAGAGCTCTCGATAGTCTCCAGAGTAGCCTGCACGTACATCTTTGAATAAGACCTGCGCAAAGCAATTGCTGCATCTCGCATTGGGTCCAACTCGTCTGAGACAGGGATCAATGCCAAAATCGCCATCAACGCCAGACCCAGTGGAGACTTGGAGCGGAACGGTAGACATGAATGATGTGGCTCAATCTCCGTCACTGGCACCGAGCATGGGCAATCAGCAGTGTGAGGCACATCAGGAGGTGGCAATAAAGGCAGATAAGGGTGGATGAAAATATAGTACGCATTCAGCCTGGATATAAGAGATGAGTAATGTCTCCAACACAAAAGTCCACGGCATAACATACAGGTCTGCATCCGATCGATATGCCCTTAGCATTAATAGACCTGGAGGCCCACTGGATATCTCCTGGTCTGCGTTTAGGTTCATATCGGATGGTATACCCGTGTCCACGAAGTTCTCAACATTTCGAATTTCATGCAAGGGGTAGATAAGATCGACGATATTATCTCCCAAGGAGCCTGCAAGAGTGTGAGCACCACCGTATTTAAAGACCACCAAACAAGGAGCATACTGCTATCATGGGTTGAACCATAAGAGAATTCGGGAGTCTGTGAGTTGACAACAGAGGTTCGTTGCTTTGCATTTTGATATCGCTCGCCCCTTCGCGCCCCACCGCGCTTACTCGGGCGGTAGCGACACTCCCGCGCATTCGCGATGCACTGAGATATGTGGTCAGTGAAGACTGCAGCGCAAATCACAATGTAACAGTTAAGAAAATCACATGATCTACTTACAGTTGCGCATGGGTGTTGCCCGTTACAGCGTGTTTTGCTAGAGCGGCTGTCGATGGTTAGTCTAAGATCAGTCAGGGTTAGAATTCACCGATTCGTACCAGGCCAGACATGCGAGTTTTACCTGGGGTTTGGTGGTCGACATGGTTGTTCCCGGTCTTTGAAGTTCTAGATGTCACATCGAGGGCACAAAAGGCTGGTTTCTCCACCGGTGGCGGACCGGAGTTGTTGTCAGCGGATGGGTCTTGTCAGCGGAGGGGCTGGACCCCAGGAGCAGGCTACCTTCCTGGTATATTGAGATATCTTGCCTGTATAGGGCCCTCACTTAAGTAAAGGTAAATACGTAGATACTGTTCGACCTATAGTTGTTCGACTTTCTCCTAGAGCCATAGGGTTGGGTGGTACCCACGCGGCATGCATATGCCGCGTTGATGATGTTAGACTGGTGCCATTTCGAGGAGCGAGCATATGCGGAGCATCTTGAATCGGATAGCTCACTTAGTCGCTTGAGCACAAGATAATCCGATTACGTGCCGGTGCCAACAGCGCTTGTTGCATCTTGGGAGCTCGCGCAATCAAACAATCCCTTAATCTTATCATTTTACTAGCTAATATTCCTGTCAAATTTCCTTGCTTATGGCATATACATATGTATCAATATTTCTCTCATTCTTCTCATTCTTCCTAATCAATGTTCGTCTCGAATACATTTCAATGAATATGAACGAGCAAGAGAATGTGTCCTATATTTCGCCGCATCTCTGGGATTTATCAACCGGTGCTTTTCCGATATTCCGACGCATCGGGGTTTGATGAATTGAAAATATGGCATGTGCTTGGTGCCCCACTATTTCTCTTGAACGTACACAAATCGGCCCTTTATCATTTCTCCGTACGTCTCAACAGATCCTCAGGTACAAAAATTGATGGGAGCTAGCGTAATGATCGAAGTGAGGTCGGTGATTGAACTGCGAATGGAAACTCAAACCCTAAGAATGGTGTGGAGTAGAGGCCGGGATAGGACCCACAGGTTTCCCAATCGACTTTAGACGGAGCAGATATTTGCTGGTATAGGTTGGCTCGACACAGATGACTTAGCAGCTTCATTGGAGCTTACGAGTTATATCTGCCATTTTCATTCCCCGAACTGGAGGAGGTTAGCCACTGTATGCTGGGTCTGGCCAAATTCACTCGATATACCGCAAAGATGTGACCATAAACGGTGATCGTGAATGTGAGTCGTCGAAATATTCCTACATATATGAGCTTATTTCGCGTTGAAAAGAAGAGTTGAATTGAGAATCTACCCAG